GAAGACAATTACTTGGTAAAACGAGTTTGGCAGAAAAATGTTCTAAAGATTATTTATTTATATCAAATGGCAGGCTTTTTGATAGTTATCGTTAGCCCTTTAGTTGACTTCAGGGTTCACAGAGAGAGAGGAACATCAAATCGAAAAAAAGTCGAGAGGGGAGGGTGAACAGAAGAGTGTTTTAAAGATGTAAAAGAGACAGACACGAAAGGTAGAAAAAAAAGGTAAGAAGAGTACTGTGGAAATAGTCGAATATGGCATAGAGTGAGGTGATGGTAGTTTAAAGTGAGAAGTCAACTGCCGGTTTATAGACGCTTTTGCCGTATGAATATACGTTGCCCAGGGTGCACCACGTGGAGGTAAGTCTATCACACACCCCCGTTCTAAAGATTATAAAGATTAATATTAGATTTTTTACAAAAAAAACTAGAGTGGAATTTATTTAAAAGCAGTTTAGTTATATTACTAGCACGTCATTAAGCCTTGATTTGACTTCTACGATCTGTGTACACACTAAATATTCTTGAGTGACTGTTGACTCGACGAAAACTGTATATATGGGTACGAACCACCTCTTAGAATGACTCATAGCACCGTAGCTAAGCGATACTAATATAATAAAGAAACAGATCGTTCGCATATATGGATTGTAGTTGACTATGACGCATCTGTGATGTTTCCATGACAATATAAATTACGGCAGAGTAGCGGAGTCCTGTTTTTAAACTATATTATGAGTACAAATTCTTTAATGCATGCCACTTGTCCTTCAAGTATTGAGTATAGTAATTAGTTTCCTATTTGTCAGTGCTCATAATAACAGTACTCCATCTATGAGTAATTTATTTCATAGTCAGTTTAAAGATAAGTGCCATCTTATTCGTTAGAAGAAATATTTTTTTGATATATTTATTTATATCAAATGGCAGCCTTTATGATAGTTATCATTAATCATTTATTTAACTTTGAGCTTCGCAGAGAGTAGGAACAACAAAGACACAAAAAGTTGAATGGGGAGAAGGGAACAGAAGTGCGATTCACAGATGTAAAAGAGACAGACACGCAGGTAGAGAAAAAGGTAAGGTGAGTTCTGTGTAAGTGGTCGAATAGGACAAAATGTCGGGTCCATGTATTTTGAAGTCAGAAGTCAATTGGCGGTTTGTGGACCTTTTGCCGTATAAGCATGCGTTGTCCAAGGTGTACCACGTGAATGTTGTAAATATAAAATCACCATTTTTGGATTTTGTCAATGCGCGTTCAAGAAGAACCTACTGTGCTTGGAGCTAGCTATTCGAGTGTAGAAATTAATACACTACTCATTCATTTATCAATATTTGTTTTCCATATATTCACTGTTAAACCGTCGGAAGTACAAAATCACCTTCAGCACAGTGGTGAGATATGTTTTAACGTTGTCAGCAATTTCGATCCAACACTATAATTAACATGATCGTAATTAAGGATAAAAATGGTGCCTAACTTGTTAGATTAAACAATGAGATTGTTGTAAATCAACCATGGCAGAGCATATTTGCATGATCTGTTCTAAGAGCTTAAAATGTTCTAGTTGCGTTCATGCTTGAACAACTAAATGTGGATGGACTTTCAAGCCAGCAAGTACGGTTAAAGGATAAGTAACAGATGCTAAATTGAATGCAGTGGCATAAATTTAAAATAGCATAACTTTCCGGATATTTTATTTCAAAAATATTTCAGCTCTTTAACCAACTTTGGGAGAGAGTTTTCATGACCAATAAACTATTTATACCAAGTGGTAGGCGTTTTGATGGTTATCATTAGCTCTTTAGTTGATTTCAGGCTTCACATTGGGGAGGAGGAACATCAAAGTGAAAGAAAGTCGAGAGGGGGGGGGGACGGAAGAGTGTTTTACCAAGGCGAAGGGGGAGGAGGTAGAAAAATGGTGGGGTGAGTACTGTGGAAGTAGTTGAATATGACACACAGATGGGTCATGGTAGTCAGAAGTCAACTCCCAATTTATAGACATTTTTGTCGTATGAGTATACGTTGTCCAGGGTGCACCACGTGGAGGCAAGCCTATCGCACACCCCATGACCAATAAACTGGTTTCTTTTAACTTAGTTGCCATCTGTTGTGGAATTTCTTTTTCCCACAAAAGTCAAGTCATCTAATATGAAGGGGACTTGAGAGATTAGTGTTTGAAAATCAGAAATACCGCGAAGAGTCCGTGACGCACCCCCCTGGGTGAATTAGTCCACCATATAAATGTGGAAAAGGTAAATAACCTGTGAAATATTAAACGCTATCAAAGTTGACCACAGTGGCATCGCGAGGTAGGTAGGTTTGAGTATGCTGACCAAGTGCGAGTGGTTTACAAAGGCCGCCCAGATAATCGGTTATCAATATTCGTACAACTTAGCAATAGATGTACCCGCAATTACTAAGTACTTTTTCCATTTGGCCTTCTAAGTGGATTGCTCAGAAATAGTTTGTGAAGCAGCCACTACGAACAGGCAATTAACTTAATTTTATCACCATGTCTTTGCCACTTCTCCCTCTCTACTAGCAAATTCGATAAAATTCTGTAAGGCAAAAGTTAAAGCGATTTTTCAAACCTTCTCTTTAAATTTCTGTTGAATTGATTTTTATCTTGGCTATTCAACTTCTACTCAACCGGACTATGCACTCAAAGTCTCAGAAAATGATGATGATACTTTAAATAACCTATCAAGAATGACAGGGAAAACAAACTTTATTTAATCTAATCTCAAGTCACTAAGTTAATTATTAAAGGGTAACATGGCAGAAAAAAGTTATTCAAACGCCATATCTAAAATAAAATTTGAGTAATTATTGTAATTTGATTTGAAACAAAAAAACATTTATTAATGGAACCCTTTGATAAAGGAGTTTTCACTACCGCTTGAGGTGGAAAGGCCATCATCTTCCTCATTTAAAAAGGCGGGTGCCCCAGAGAAATTCACTTCCCTCCCATCTACTTCATCAAATCCCGAATAGGATTTGGATTTTCTTCGTTCAAGCGCAGCCATTTGAAGTGGAGAGGTAAAAGGACTGATGGTCTGAATGTGTCCTGCTGAGCTGCTTCGACGAACAGATGGTCTGCCGGTGATTTCGGGGACTTTCACATTTGGATTCTTGGGCGCCTTGCGAACTTCATTTGTTAATACCTTTTGATTCGTTGGGAGGAGAGGTCGATGTTCCTTGGGACCTGCATTTATCATGATTCCTCTACCTTTTTTTAAATTTATAAGTAAATTGTCAAAATGTCCTTTTAATTTCTTGAGAAAAGTCTATTTACCTCAAGGGAATTTGCTAATTGGTTGAATTGTGCAATAGTAGGCACTTAAGAAGAATACGTGCTTTATAAAGCCATAGTTAAAATTCTACATCAAGTACTTATTTATAGCCGTCATTTGCACAAATCGTAGTTCACGTCTATTTGTCATTTATAAATACAAGAAACGGTAAATCTTATCATTGATTAGGATTTTCAAATTGAATGAACTCCAACTAAGCAATATTAACGAAGAAAACCATAGTCGTCAAGGCGTGATCAGATCTTGATATTAAACGTGAAAAAGCACCCATTGCTGTAATACAGAGCCTGAAAACAAGAAATACTAACGCTGAAAGGAAGTCCAGCATTTCGTGAAAATGGGCGAAAATAGCTGCAAATTAATAGCTATTAGGTTTTCGTAATCAAAGTTCACATTCAAAGTCACGAGATGAAAAGTTTCTGCTAATTGGCTCAGAGTTGTTAATTGTTCTTTCCAATGCGAATGGGAACAGGGCTACTGGATGATTAACACGTCATTCAAATAAAGTAAGACAATCAAAATGCTTGTATCATTCTGTGCATTAATTGGAAATCTTTCCTGCTTCATTAATAAGTTGAAAATTAAACGATTTTGAGTGTTAAAATAGAAGTTTGCAAAAAATTAGATAAATTTCTCCGTAATAACAGTAACTTTTAAACTTTAATTTACTCTCTTTTATTAACTTGTAGTAGCAATTTTAATTATATTTGATTTAATTATTAATTTGGGCGAATTAACTAAGATTTTGCTCCACTTGTTCAATTTTTATTTAAATTGGTAAAAATTTGATCTCTGTGCCTTCAAGTCGCTCTGTGACTATGACTTGTTTCCGACCATTGGATATAGGATAGATAAAAGGGTACTTAGATGACCAGGCAATAACTCAGTTTTTGAAAACTGGGTGAAAGATTTCATTAAATAAGCAGATATGCAGAGTAACCTTGTCTACTCAGAAGATCAACTGCCACATGTGTTAAGAATTCCTGTTATATCTTTATATTTCAGGTTACAAGTAAATAACTCCACAATATACATTTAACACGGCAAACTTTTTGGAATTACCATATAATGACCATTGTAGCAACCATGGACAGAGACACATAAAAGTAACGAATTTTGTCACATCAATTAACGAATACACCGAATTGCTTCCCTATATCAATCTTTTAATAAATTTGGCGAATGTGTGTAGTCTTTTATCAAAATGTGTTGCCTATCGACATGTTAAAGCAGAAACCATAAGGACTTGACAGTGTAATCAATTTATTATCAATTTTTCAGCATTAACATAGTCGATGGGTTTTGACAGGAATCTAATTCGGGTACCAATAAATTGGATTTGTTTCCTACACAAATACCATTACTTAGGTTACATCAATGACCATAATTATACAATATTCACGAAAATTGCAGTAGGCACGTTGGGTATAATATAATAATTCAAAAATTACACAAGCCAAGTCACCGAGGTTGTCATCTGCTCACTATTTCTTAATAATCAGCATCTGGTAGAAGCAATTAAGTTAAGAATATATATACTATATATATGAACTTGGGATTCAAATAAGACACACGAAGAGAGAACGTTTATATAGCAAAAATCTAAGGTAGTTTTAGGCTCAATGACAGAGAATGAATATTTGAATAAAAACTGCAATATTAAGATTAATATTTGCTGTAATCTATAATAAAATTGGCAAACATCGAAATATTCAATCCTGGATTAAGGATCAACAACAAAATGTTCATTAATAGTAATGAAATGCATTGAAGAGTAATCTTGAGGGATATTGTGCAAAAACAAATAAAAGGTTGCAAAATACCGTTTGTCAAAAATGTAGTAGATAACTTAAGTTTATAAATATTTAAATATAATTAGTATACTAATCTCATAAATATTTAAATGTATATTGTTATAAAAGTTTCTTTAATTTTTTATGGCTTTGATTTGTTTTACTTGCTAAATAATCAAAATTGGAGCTTTGTTTGTAGATCAAGCCAACCAGACCCCTTGGATCTCAGCTGATTCAAGGACGTTTCGGACTTCATTATCCGGAGCCTATTTCGAATTAGCTCATTTATACAACATTTGTTAAGGGGTATGAGCTGAAATATTATGCTAAAGCGAATAATATTTATGCTTATTTTTGCAAATTGAATCATGAATTTTATAAAATGTGTTTCTTTAAAGTGGATTATTTCATTCATTTGGTTTTAACTGATCCATGAACAATCTCGCTTTATCTCTCTGAAAAATATGCTACTGCATTCATCTGATGACATTTTTTGTCAAAATTTTCATAGGCTTCCTTTTTTACTAGAGATAACTAACGAAATCTGATATGTTTACTTCATAGTTTTGGTGAAATTTTTTACGAGCGTCTCTATATTTTAATCGTAGATACCATCATTTCTGTTTTCTTTATGAGGATTTTTGAAAAAAATACGTGTTTTCGTAACTCCCTTAGCTATGTATTCAAAAAACTATCGTTTCTGCATCTTTAGATCCAAATAATGGACAAATGGCAACTCATACATAGCGATGGTGAATTCGTTGATGTAGATGATGACACTTCAAGCATTTGTAAGTTTGTTTTATTCTTAATCTTTTCACTAATTCAAATAACTGATTCATGATAATCTACTTGATTGTGTCTGCTGTTATACTTCAGAACTCCGAAAGACTAAGTTTTTGCTTTGAAAATCAAAATTCCCAAGTTGCCATTAGATTTGTTTTCATTAGGCTTGTTTATTGCAATAACGTCCTTATGGGGTCGCCAAAAAACTCTGATGGTTCCTCTTAATGATAAAAACCCTAGCGGAATTAAAAATATACTTATCCTGTTTCTTCCTATTTTACTAATTTTATTGAATTGATGTGTGCAGAATTGACCCATCGGTCTATTTGTGATTTTGATATCTTATTTAAATGGTTATATAATCCCAAGTTATCGGAAAACTTGAGTACGTATCTGTGTTATTTGTGCGTCTTCTATTCGTGTAAGAGACTAAGAATGACTAAATCTTCTATTGAAATTATGTTTCTTAATGCTTTTCAGCTTCCGACTGGTCTGTGATGAATTTTCAAGATATCGATGAAGTAGAAGGCAATCGAGCTGTGGAAGATCCACAACCATCTTCCTCCGAAGCGACAACCCCAACAAGTGCAGAGTCCCATCCTCCTCCTCCTCCTTCCGCTTTTCCTCCGGCTTTATCCAGTCATTGCACTCGACACGGTCGCCGTAGGGGTCGCGCCACAACGACTCGGCACAATGAGGCCTTCACGTCAACCAATCGGGCTGTCTCATTAACTGTCCGACATGCCTTAGCTCCCAGCGTCACGGAGACCAAATCATCGGCTCTTGTGAGTGCAAAGGTCTCGAATCAAGCGGCTTTGTTGGCTAAAATGCAGCATGAAAGACGTCAATTGCGTCGTGGTGGTGGTAATAATACACCTCGAGCTCAACTCGATCGCAAGCACGCCAAATGGATGCACGGCCAAGGCAGAATTGGACACGCTTTCCAACGTTCGAAAGTTCGCGATGCATAAAGTAATGCTCTAGCATTTACTTCCTGCGCATTAAAAAAATTACATTTTAAATCGGCTGTTTGTTGCTATTGTTGGATTCTACAACCACTAGGAGAGTTACCATGCAATCTTTCTCTGTTACCCCCTCCCCCCCCCTCCCACCCACCTCCCCTCTCGTAACCACTGCCCCCTTATCTGTTAGTTGTTTTTTTTCTTTTTCCTCTGTGTTTTTTTTTGGAATTAGCTCAGTGTGTCTCTTTTCCATCATTTTCATTACGAATAACACTTGTTATCAGTTGGTGTGTTTTATCTATATTTTTGCAAAATAACAAAAAACATATTACCATGCACTTCGAAAAAAAATGAAAATGAAATGCTCCTCCTCATTATCTTCTTCTTCTTTCCTCGGGGTAAGAACTAATTCGGGCGTAATTAGTGTGATTTTGCGATTTCTGATGATTAGTGGCTACTAACGGCTAAATCGATTTTCTCAACTGAACTACCTCTTTAGTTCTGCTTTTAGATTGCATTTTACTGATAATTGTGTAGAAAATCGATTTTAATCAAGTTGCTTGGCATAATAAAAAAAGGATTAGTAGAAAGTCTGTGAACCGTTTATGAAATAGTCACTTTTTTGGGGGGGGGGATTTCTCTGTCTATTTCCAATGACTGTGTGAGCAATGAAAGTTAATTTCAAAGCCTTCAAATCTGAAAATCAAATAAAAAGTTGAATACCTAAATCAACGTAAGCATTAAGGTGTATTTTCAGCACAAGTGCTCAATTTTCCTTTTTCTTATAGAGTTGGGGAATTTAACTCATGTGCTCGAAAGTAGCACATACCATCATTTGATTAAATTGGCATAAAGTAAAATATCTATCTTGGGGCAATCTGAACAGTATCTGTTATTTAATCAACCTTTCTTAAAGAGGGAAATGAATAGTTGTAGCTTTGAAAAAAAGGATCACACTTCACCATCAGGCATGATTCAAAACCTCAATTTCGCCATAACATTAAAATCTTGCAGTTTGTCAACCAGCCGATGGGTGTAAGTTCAAAGATTACGTGCTGGGAAAAAATTTATTTATTTCAAACAGCAAGCATTTTGATAGTTATCATTAGCCCAATAGTTGACTTCGGGCTTCACAGGGGGAAGGAACATCAAAGTAACAGAAAGTCGAGGGATGGGGAACAGAAGAGTGGTTTACAGTTGTAAAAGAGTCCAGAAAGTCGAGGGATGGGGAACAGAAGAGTGGTTTACAGTTGTAAAAGAGACAGACACAAAGGCAGAGAAAAGACTAGATGAGTACGGTGGAAGGGGTCGAATATGACATACAGTGTGTTCATGGTAGATTGAAGTCAGAGGTCAACTGCCAGTTGATAGACTTTTTGGCCGTATGAGTATACGTTGCCCAGGGTGCACCACGTGGAGGTAAGTCTATCGCACACCCCGCTGGGAAAAAATTGGTCATCATCTTTTTTCTTTATTTGCTCAAAATGTCTTGCCAGGAGTACGTCACTTTTAGCCTGAAATAGTGAATTACTTGCAATAAGGACATTGGATGCAACTAAACCAAATTGATTTGCACACGCCCATATATAAAAGCTATTACTATTTGGTTGGAATGGAGGTAACGACCTTGACTTCAAATAACGACCTTTTGGGTTATTAAACGAAGTGGAAATTGTGTTTGGGGCGTGTTATTAGGAAAACATAAGGTATTCGCTTTTTTGCTAAAATGGACATAATTAAACGGATTTCAAAGCTAATCCAAAATAACAAAAAAGTCGACGGTCAAAACTCAGAAACAAACACCTTTTTGGAAAAATGTGGTTAATTTCTGCTGTTCGTTCCTCCTAAATCTTTATTATTTACATTCGAACACCTTCCGAATCGTATTTTCAAGGCATTTCATAACAAAAGGGGAATAATGGTTCGGAATCAATATTAGTAACCAAACGCTTTCAAAATACTTTTCTTTTAAATCGTTTTTTTTGAATGAGTCATCAGCTTAATTATAGGAATTCAATAATTGAAGCTTCATATTGTCGCCTAGTTGTATTCTAAGCCAAAGATTTCCTTTAGTAGCAATTTTAGTACATCAGGTGGATAGAAAAGCTGAAGTGAGCAGAAAATACGTCTTAAATGGAGCGAGTTTAAAGCAAAATATTTCTCATTTCGTAAATTGTAGCCAATTGCTGCACTAGTAGGCCCTGACTTATGCTTTGTCATCCCCTTGACAACTTCTCCTATGTTTGGAGAGACGGAGTGTGCGATAGACTAACCTCCACGTGGTACAGCCTGGGCAACGTATACTCATACGGCAATAGGTCTATTAACTGGCAATTGACTTCTCACTTTAAATTATCATGACCCCACTGTATGTCATATACAACCTCTTTCACAGTTCTCACCTCACCTTTTCTCTGCCTTTGTGTCTGCTTGTCTGCCTGTCTCTTTTACATCTGTGAATCATTATTCTGCCCCTTTCGACTGTTTGCTACTTCGACGTTCATCTCCCTCTTGGTGAAGCCCGAAGTCAACTAAAGGGCTAATGGTAGCTATC